ATGTTAATTCAAAGGACAAAAACTCCACTACTTCTCTTAACCACTACTTTTGCCTGCAGAGGTTTACAGTCAGGGACAGATTCTCAGCCACTGTAAACCAGCATGACCTCACTGAAACTCATTTGTCCCCGTACTAAAAGGACAGATCATTTACAGTAACAGCAATTAGGAGGATGCCCGCCGGCGAGGCAGATTTACGTAGCCACATGAAATAGCCAGGTGACTACAGAAAGGAGGAAGCCTGGCCAACATTTTTTCTCAATAGTCCTAGGAAGGTTATGTTCAGGCACAGGTCAGTGAATGAGCTATGAGAAATGAACAATGGGCTGGAACTTTACTTCGCTGATAAGAAACGGGGAACATGCATTATTTTGAAGGTCCTCCAGTTGACGAATTAATCTGGGTCAGATATTGGTTTGAATTTTTGGTTTAAGCTCTCTCCCAAATGTATTGGTCTTAAAAGTTTTCATCATTTTAGTGTTATAAAACTGGACATAGAATAAAACGCTGTCCATTATTTTTGAGACAAGACCTACCCTCTTAGCTGGTGTTAGGTAAACACTTCGCAAAGACACAGCCGCAGAGTTTGAAGCGTTCAGCACTTTTTCTCAGGATAACCTGGATCCCCAAAAGAACTTGCCTCTGCTCCATAATGACAGTCATTTCCATACAGGGAAGCAAAACAAAAGTGGAGGAACTGAGTATGGATCTCAGAGGTCCATCAGGAGTGCACTAACCAACCACTCTGTTCCTACAGCAGAAAAAGGACTTGGCAAACCCCGTGTTGCCTGAACTTCAGGAACAGCAGCCACCCAGCACCTGCATTTGGTGGTTGGAGTTCAACAACACTGCGGAGACTGCCGAGGGTCTTCAAAACACAGAAACCAGCCTGCAACAGAGCTGCAGAGCTATTGATGTGTGCTGAGTTCCATGGACCACCTCCAAAAGGACTTAAGGCTTTGAACAAGTATTTTCTTTTTCTTTCATTATTTTAATAAGGTTTTTCAGACACTACTTATGCTTCTACATTGGGCAGATGAGAGGAAGAGCTCTGACTTTAAGAGAAGGGGATCACCTTCCTACAGAGGTTCCCTCTGCCCCCCTGTGACAACTGAAAGCTGCCATCTTGAGCCAAAGACACGAGAAAAAGCTGTGGGAGTTGGTTAAAGCAGCTCAGCAGCAATCAATCACTTCTGTGGTGCCAGGGAGCTGGGACCTCACTGGAGCAGGGGTGGCTCTCACCTCCCTTGAGCTTTGGTGAGACCTCCCTAAAATCTTTCTGGCTCGTTCTTCAGCAGTAGTAACACGCCGTGGCAGCACCATGTTGTGGAGACTGGAGAGAACAATGCCACACAAAACCTATACATAACAGTACGGGTTATTCCTTATCAAGACAATACTAACCAGATAAGACTATTACATTTTTGTATGTTGGAAAACAGAAGAAATGGCCATTGTCTCGTAACGGCCTCCTTCTGGCCCCTTTTTGTGTTCAGCCCTGGTGGTGACATTACATGCAAGAAGTTGCCACATGTAACAAAGCTATTTTCCACAGCAAATAGACATTTTTTCTGAAATCTCTAGATCCCAGTGAAATTCTTTAGAACTGGTGTCAGATTATCAACCTGGCATTTTTCTCGATTCCAGATTCAGCTTAAAGTCAAAGATAATAAAATCCAATTTACATTTCAGCCTTTTTTAGAAGCTCTTGACTGAATATTATTTAGTTCTGGCAATGTTTCTCTTATTTTTTTTCCACATATGTTGCCTATATGGAAGCCTATGTATAGATGTATCATCAGAACACTCCAGCTGCATTTACAAAAGCCATGACAAAATCAGTTCAACATAGCTCAAAACAAGTTACACTAAGAACGAGAGAACACTCGTGAAATTTCCTGCAAAGACAATGCACACCCTCCACTAACTCTATGCCACAAGTTAGTGGAGGGTATGGCAGTGTTTTGGGTTAAGTTCACAATATACTTAATCTGTTAATTTACTTCCCTGTAACCATTCCCTATTTGCCACCGTTGTGCTTTTCTTATGACAAGTTTCTGCAAAAAAGATAATGTAAGAATAATGGAGGAAAGGAATGATCAAAAAATTATAAAAGGGAAATGAGTTGTGACAGTAACAACTACAGTTCCATGGAGTTTCTTTTGAAATGTTTATTTTTTTGTAGTTCGTGAGAGTGTTGAATGGATCAATGAAAAGCACCTACATCCTGCCCTAGCTTTTGTTAACTTTTAGAAGGACTTCAACAGCATTAGCAGAAATACCACAACCTTACAGAACCCGTGTAAAAACAACCCAGAACCTTTACAGATACAAACATACTGTAATCTCCAATTGGGAGTTAACTGGCCTGATGTTCCTCCTATGACTCAAGAAGTGTATGTAGATCCACTATGCTGTTTAGTGCCATTACTGATTTTTTTTTCCTGCAACGAACCTGCAGTCAGTTCCTCAACTTACAGCTGAAGCCTGTAGATCCTGAACTCTGCCTACGAAATTTGAACCCAAGGTTCTAGCCAAAAATATTTAGCAAAAGACCAACTATTTATTCAACAGTGCTAAACAAAAGTCTAATAGTCACGAGATAAAAACCAAAGGCACTAAAAATGGACATGGTCTTACGTAATCTCACTGTTTCAGACTCACTGAGTACTGGATTTGAGTTTAGTTTTCTTGACAATCTCTCTTACCTTACCTGCACTTATTGTATAGTAACGTGAATAGGCTGGGGAAGTGCTATGTTTAAGAATATTTAAGTCTAACAATAACTGCATCAATGACAAATTCAATCTATAACAGCACCATACTAAACAAATTCCTGCTGGGAATCACTGGAGAGATATGAGACTATCTAACAGGAGTTTTATTTGTGGCTGTCTGAACTGAATATTTGTATTTAAATGTCAGCCAAAATAAATAATGTGGAGGTCTTGGAACAGACAGAGTTAAACACAGCTACACAAATAATATAAAGGAGAAAATTGTCTTGGCCAAGCTTCCAGAGGGCCCAACATCGAGAGCTCAGTCCAGCTCTGCTTTAGTAACCTCACAAGGAAGGAGAGTTTGACACAGAAGGACCTTTCTTGGTATCGCAATGACCGCAGCCAGAAAGACTGAACAAGCCCCAAGAATCGACTCAGCCTAGCCCAGCATGGTCCGGTGCTGGTGTTAAATACCATATGCTTTTCAGGCCATCAGCTAAGTGTTATTCACTACTTTCCTGGATTAAACAGTCTTTTCAAGTGTCGCTGAAAATGGCTAATAGGGGTTGATGGGAAACAACCATTGATACTTTAGGAAGAGGTTTATAATTTAATGTAAGAGTTTAATATAACGAAGGAAGAGATCTCTTGGAAGATGGTGGACCTCCGAAAACCCATAAAGACATGGGAAGGGAAGGGAAGGGAAGGGAAGGGAAGGGAAGGGAAGGATTGAACTGAATTTTCAGCCAGAAGGGACCTACAATGTTCATCTAGTCCAACTCCCTGACCATTTCAGGGCTGACCAAAAGTTAAAGCATGGTAAATTAACGACACTGTCCCAAAGTCTCTTAAACACTGACAGGCTTGGGGCATCAACCTATTCTCCAGGAAGCCTGTTCCAGTGTGTGATCACCCTCTAGGTAAAGAAATGCTTCCTCATGTCCAGTCTGACCTGGAGCAGCTCTAACCATTCCCACACGTCCTGTCGCTGGGTGCCGGGCAGAAGAGCCCAGCACCCCCTCTCCTCGCCCCCTCCTCAGGAAGGGGCAGAGAGCCGTGAGGCCGCCCCTCAGCCTGCCCCCCGGATCACACACGAAGCAGTTACAAGCCCCCAGAGAAGGTCCCTGAGGTCGCCGCCCGGACCCGACCCCGGGCACCGGACGCGTTCAGCTGAACGCCGCGGAAGCTCCAGGCGGGGGAAGCCCCTTTCCTGCCGCTCTGCCCCCCCCCTCACCGCGCCGTTCCCCGACACTCCTCCCCGCCCCACGCGCAGCGCCACAACGACACAAAGCCTTGGCGGGGGCTGGCCTCCCCCGGTAACCCTGAGGAAGCACCTTCCCGAGCCGCCACCGCCGCCGTGTCCCGCGGGGCCTAACGCTGCGGAGTAGCGGGAAGTGACGGGACCGCAACAGACCCTACAGGCGGGGGAAGCGGCCGGGGAGAGCGGCGGCCTCCTCGCCCCCAGCAACGGCCGCGGCGCGAGCCCCTCCGGTGTGGGGGCGCCCCCTGCCGGCGGGGCGCGG